ATCATCATCGTAATCATCATCATCATCCTCATGGTCATCATCGTCGTTATCATCATCGTCGTCATCCTCATGATTGTCATGAAAATTTTATTATATTCGTACTCGTGAACAACTCCCGGGCTCCACCAACTCCGGCTGAAAACACACCGAGGTTCAACAAGGCCGACTACGGTGCCTCTCCCCCTCTCCCTTCTCCTCCACGCTCTCTTCCCACCTCTTCTCCACGCCTACCTCTTTTTCCGGTCGCTTGGTATTTTCCTCGGATTTGACTTTGCTGGGTTGTGGTACTGAACCGCCTGAAAACTGGAAAAAAAAATAAAAAAAATTGGAACTCCGAGATTCTGTTTTACCCATCCAAACTAAGAGGTCGAGATCCCGACCGATACGTCTCGTCAACGACTATCCAGGACATTCCCTGAACTCTTGCATATTATGCCATGGGCAAATTGGAAATACCCGTTTGCAGACGTATGGTAGCAACTTTACCTAGTCCGCGCAGGTGCGGTGACAAACAAACACATGTTGCGGTGACAAACAAACACAAACACGTGTGCGAGCAGCCCATCCTCTTTTGAGGTGCATCTGTGCAGAAATACCGGTCCGGTCCGTGACCTTTCAGTTGCAAAAACATTTATTTTTATTTTTTATTATTATTATTTTTTTTAATATCGGGCCCAGTGCCCAAGGCTTATATTATCAACAAAAACAAATATACCGCGAGATGCTTTATCAAAGTTTATTTGTTTTGGCAACAGAGGACTTTGGAGCCCTTGCCGCAGCCCAGGCCCACGGGACTCCTGTTACGAACGCAGGTACCGGAGGGTAAATCTGCACAGAGAAACCTTCGAAAAAGGGTATTTCAAAAAAAAAAAAAAAAAAAAAAAAAAGGGAGAGGGTATTTCTGCAACTTTACCGGTTATTTGCCAGCATACCTTGGGCGGACGCCGGACGGGTAAAAGTTGGGACGATATGTTTGACAAACGGGTATTTCTGCAATTTTCCCTTTGGCGATCGTTTAGTATTATTATTATATTATTTTTTGTTGATTTCATTTGTTTTTGCTGGGTACAATAGTTGTTGAGGAGAAGTATGGGTTGGGATCTCGACCTCTTTGACACCTTGGAACAAAAAGGAATGACCATCGTTCATTATCAAATTAAATTTTTTATTTCTTTCATTTATTTTGTTTGTTTATTAAAATTTGTTTTGTTTGGTCTGGTCATTGCTAACCCGTTTGTCCAGTTCGAACTGTTTCATTGCTGCAGATATTGCTTCTTCAAGCTGGGGGAGATTTTGCACCCGAAGGAGGATTTGCAAGCGGACAGCACCTTAAGAATCTCAAAGCGGAGACCGATCATGCCGGCCGACGACATCACGGACTTCCTCACCGGCTCGGTGACTCCGTGGAGCGACAGTGGCAGCTCTACGTCCAGTCGATTCTGACTAACTGTTGACTAACTGTCACAGAGTCCCCCACTGTTGTGTCTTGGGAGTAGTCCTTTTCACATATATAGTCAGCAAGCGAGAGATCGTCGTCCCAACCACATACAAATCGGCTGCCTTTTTGTCCTGTTTATTTATTAATATTTATTATTGATTGATTACAGCGTAAGAAAAAGCGCCCATGGATTGCGCTTTTTGCTGAAACCGGTACTGTACTCGGATGTGGGGGACGCGCAACTCGGCGGGAGTCCAGCGGAACCACCACCCATTGGCCGAGGCAGACCAGATTTTTTTTTTTTTTTTTTTTTTTTTTTTTTTTTTTTTTTCAGACCAGATTATCAATCTCCACGTTCTTCGGGAGTCCAGCGGGAGCACCACCCGTTTCCTACACACTCTGACATGCGTGTTTACAGAGCTGGTGAAGCCGCCGAGAAGAGGGGCCTCGCTGCACTACTCTCGAGACCCACAAAAGACAAAAACCATGGCCGTGTATCTGTCCATATTCCAGCGGAAGATTCACTCTCGCTTTTGCACATTTCGAGAGTAGTGCAGCGAGGCCCAAGATGTCAGTTAAGCGTTCTCGCTGTTGTGTCTCGCATTCGTTATCAGCATTCTTTTCGACAGCGGACAGCCGCTGTTCACAAAAGCAGCTCAGAGATGATATATAGACGTAAGCCGGTTGCTTCGGCGCAACACGGAGGGATAACGACAAAGTCTGACGTATATCATCGTCATCATCATCATCATCATCTACATGTATATCCATTCGCAAGGACTTATATAATATTACGGCGAGAGCTCGCTGGCAGTGTTTTTTTTTTTTCTGGTCGCCGCTGCAGTGCAGCCTCGTGAAGAGCGACCGGTCGCTAGCTTAGAAAGCCTGGTAGTTGTGAGCGACTGATCAAAAAGAGCGAGAGAGCCGAAAAAGGCGATGAGCTAGCGACCGGTCGAACGGTGAGCTACTAGTCGAGCGTCTATTGACACGACTCATGGATCGAGTCACATTCATCAACTGAAGTGTTCCCGAGCAACCTGTCGTAAGGCGATGAGCGAACGACTGGTCGCATCTGGGATGCGTGCTACGGTTTGTACGAGCTAGCGACCGGTCGTATGAGACGAGAAAGAGCTCTGGCGGCTGGCCGATGCAGCCAGCTTTAGAAGGAGGAGGGAAGCAGAGGTCAGGGAAGGCAGAGACCGGTCGTATGAGACGCAAGGCACTACTTGACGCTCTGTCCGATGACAACGATCTTTGACGATTGATGAAGTTCTTTTCCTTCACAGCAGCCTTCTGCTGCCCGGGATGACGCGGTCCGCTTGGGTACAGCCGGCCGCGGTCTGTTCTTCTTGTGGATTTTTAATTAAAGAACGACCCGGTCTGTTCTTCTTGTGGATTTTTAATTATAGAACGACCCGGTCTGTTCTTCTTGTGGATTTTTTTTTTTTTAATTATAGAACGCTTTTTAAAACTAACCTACGGCAATTGACACCCGTGTCCATAAGCACTTAAGCCTTCCCTTTTTCCTTTTT